AATTCTGGGAGTTGAAGTCCACTCATCTTAAAGTGGCCAGGTTTGGACAACACTGCTGTAAGTGCTTCAATTCCCTGTTGTTCTACTGTCTAAAAATTGTTTCGAAGATGGGGTGCAGACAAAACAGAGAACGAAATCAAATGAGAGCGCTCCGAGGGCATGTAATAAGAAAACGAATGCAGCAGCTGGGAGGGTGGTGTGTGTGTGGGCAGGTCTCCTATTGCTACAGCTCAGCTTGCATCTGCTCCTAAGGATGTACATGCCGTATATTGATTTATTTCGGTTTAGGGTAAGAATTTCACTAAATTAAGTCAGATGGGGATACTCTCTCTTTGCCATCTAGCAGTGACAAAAAGCAATGGCAACCAGCAGCTACCTGTGGATGTCATAATAATATAAAATGGTTAACCTGGTGAGCCAGGAATCAGAAGCTGTCAGGTTAGACGGATTCATTCTGCAAACTTTGAGCAGGCGCTTTCCAGTCTCCATGCTGAGCATGGCCAAATTTCCACTGACTTGGAAAGGCTGAAAGAAAAGGCCGAGAATATAATCCTTGGAACAGACGTACTGTATATACAGCTTGATCTCTCTCTCTCTCTCTCTCTCTCGTTTCTATCTTGGCTGTCATAAAACAACTCATGTAGCTGTGCTGAACGTGTGAAATTTCTGCTATAAGCAAATTCCTGTATATGGGCTTAAGCAATAAGTCTAGATTTATCGCTGTGCTTGGTATTAAATCTGACACAAACTTATTCAACACATAAAAGAGATTTAAGATTTCAAACACATCTTAAGGATTAAAAAACAAAAAAGAACTTCCATTTTCCAAAAACATGGCGGGGATAAAAATCTAAATAGCTCAAATTCTAGTTTTGGTAGCGTTGTTTTACTCATAATGAAAACAACCAACCAACAGTGAAGTACAGATGCAGAGCTTTTATTGTTAGAACTTGTGATCTCTCTCAAAGATACCACAATCAAGTCCCAGCTACATGTTACATGCAAACGTAGTCCTAGTGCCCTTAAAAGGACAGCCACATCTTACAGATGGAGAATTTGAGGAGGAAAAGCTGTAGATGAGAAGAGGGAGACTTAAAGCCATTGGAACATCTAGTTGCTGATGTTGCCATGCAGGAAAAGAAAATCTGAAGCAACAGAATTTAAGGGGGAACACGAAATGCAAGACGCATGGAATTGGAAACCTTCCCTCAGAAGATCTTACTATTGACTACTTAGGACACGCACATGTGCACACAAAAAACAAAAAGAAGGAATGGCATTGCTTTACACAGTCAGAAGGGATATAGCAAGACAGTATTTGGGTACAGTGTAGTCAATGACCACTAATATCAATTAGATTTCACAGGTAACTTTTTAATATGACAGTTATCTGTATTTATGTTCCAACCACTGATGCAGAAGAAGAGAAAGCTGACAAGCTTTACGGTCAGGTTCAGTCTAAAATCAACAGAACATGCAAGCAAGATGTGCTGCTTATGGTTGGAGACTGGAATGTCAACACTGGAAAAAATAAGGAGGACATCTTAGTTGGACTATATGGCCTAGGAAACAGAAATGAAGCAGGAGAACAATTTATCAGTTTCTGCCAGTCCAATGCTAACGCAGTCTTCAAACAACCAAAATAATGTCTACATACCTGGAAATCACTAGACAGAGTACACGGAAATAAAATTGACTATATTATTGGAAAATGGAGGTGTAAGAGCTCAGTTATAACAGCTAAGATGTGGCCAGGGTTGATTGTGGAACAGATTATGAACTGCTCATATGCAAGTTCCAAATTAAGCGAAAGCTGAAGAACAAAGACAAGAGTTTCCATAATATGATCTTAAGCATATACCCACCATTTTCGAGGAGAACATCAGGAACTGCTTTGAAGACTGGAACCTCACTGATCAGGAACCAGAGCACCTGTAGAATGAAATCAAAGAAGTTGTTAAGGATGAATGTGAAAAAAGCCTGCCAAAGACCAAAAAACAGAAGAAGCCAAACTGGAGGTCAAAACTGGAAACTGCCAACAAGAGAAGCCAAGGCAATGAAAGACAAAGGCCTTAGAAAGGAACATAGTAAAAAAAAGACTTCAGAAAGATGTTAGAAAAGACAAGAAGCAGTATTACAACAATATCTGTAAAGACACTGAAACAGTGGAACAGACATGTGAAAACAAGGAAAGCTTTCCAAACTCAAAAGGAGGTTCCAACCTCGAACTGGCACACTAAAAGATGCCAATAGACAGATAGTAACTTATTCAAGGAAGATCAAACAAATGTGGAAGGGGTACATGAAATTCTCTACAGTAAAGATATCAACATCTAAGTACTTTAGAAGATATTCCCTATTTAGAAGAACCTCTAGTGCTAGAAAATGAAGATAGATAGTCATTACCAAGTTGAAAGGCTACAGGAATTGATCGAATATCTACAGAAATATGGCAAGGAACAGAAGAAGTATCGGTAAAGGTTCTAATCAAACTTTTCCAGCAAATCTGAAGAATGAAATAGTGGCCAGCAGATAGGAAGAGGGCAGTCTACATACCTTTACCAAAGAAAGGAGATGCAACAGCATGCAAACTACTTCACAATATCCTTAATTTCATATGCTAGCAAAATAATATGTAAGATCATCCAATACAAATTAGAAGCCAAATGGAAAGGGAGATGCCAGATGTTCAAGCTGGTTTTAGAAAAGGCTGAGGAACATCATTGCTGATGCACACTGGATAATTGAGAGAATACCAAAGAATTCCAAAGTAGTATGTCTTCATTGATTATGGAAAGGCCTTGCATTGTGTCTACCATGTCAAGCTGTGGAATGTCCTTCAGAAAACAGGAATCACAGAACATCTCATTGTCCTCATGCAAAGCTAACACACAGGACAGAAAGCCACAGTCCAAACACAACTGGCTGCAGGTCAGCAAAGGAGTGAGACAAGGCTGTATAATTTCTCCTTATGTATTCAACCTATATTCTGAATATACACTGAGGGAGGCTGGATTAGAAGATGAGTGTGGTTTTAAAACTGGAGGAAGAAACATCAATAACCTGTGTTGTGCTGATGACACTATTCGGATAGCTGAAAATGCAAATGACCTGGAAGCTCTAGTAATGAAAGTGAAGGAGCCCAGTGAAAAAATGGGAAAAAGTTAAATATAAATACAACCAAACTAATGACAACAGATATAGCAGCTAGTCTCAGAATTGACAATGAAGATATAGAAGTGATGGACAGCGTCTGCCTGGTAGCACTGACTAGCATCAATAAAGGAACAAGCAGTCAAGCAGCAGGTTAGCACATGGTAGGGTAGCAAGGCCTTGGATTAGTTATCCCAAGTTATTCAGATACTGTGATATACCCATACCTACAAAGATCAGAATCATGCAGGCAATGGTTTTCCATGAAAGTTGTGCTTTGAAGAAAGAGGATAGAAAAAGTATTGACGCTTTTGGAGAAGACTCCTGGGAATACCATGGACAGCCAAGGAAACAAATAAATGGATAACAGAACAAATCAATCCAGGGTTCTCATCTGAGGTTCAAATGACCAGGCTCAAATTATTATAATTTAGACACATTATGAGGAAACCCCAGCTTGAAACCTTGAAAAGTCCGTAATACTGTAGTGGGAAAGGTGGAAGGAAAGGGAAGAAGAGGATAAGTCGCAGCAAGATGGATGGAGTTAATTATATTAGTAATGAGTGCACCATTGGAAGGGCCAGGCTGGGGTCAGATCATTCTGGAGAAGGCCTACCTATATGGTTGCTAAGAATTGATACCAACTTATGATATATATCAAGAATCAATCAATAACTCTTTCCCTGCTGATCTCTGCTTCATTCCCCCCCCCCCTTTTTTTTTAATGTGCTTTTCTTTCTTTTTCTCTTTCTGGACTCTCTTACATGCAGAATTCTGAGTGCCTGACAGCATTTTCCCTCCCTCCCTCCCTCTTATACCCCAAGAGAGTTAAGGCAGAGTCAGATTAAGTTTCTTTCAAATGTTCTCTTCCTGTCCTGGGCTTAAAACATGCTTTTCTAATTGTCGTCCCAGTTTCTCCAAGGCCATTTCTGTGCTTCTCTACAACACCCCATAACTAAAGAGGAAGAAGCATCTTTTAAAAACTGAATCCAAGGGATTGTACAACTCTGATACCTTACTCTGCTTTTGCTCTCTTCCCTTCCTCCAGGTTTTCCACTGCTTTGATTATCAATTTGGGGGGGGGGAAATATACTTTATCAATCATTGTTTTACACTGATATGAGCCTAGAAGTTAAAGTTGACAAACATTCGAGTTTAAATACACACACACACATACACCCCTACTATCCTGTTGTGATTCTTTAAAATGCTAGATAAACTACATACAGACCGGAAAGGATCAGGGCAGACTAGACTCACAAAACTCCTTGCCATATTGTTACATTTTCCATAGAAAAATCACACAAATGCTTCATGAAGTTCTGTATGATACATTTGCCCCACTGAAATGAAGCATTCATTCAGCGATTAAAAAAACAACAAAAAACTTTACTTTGGCTGTATTCCTAATTGAAGCAATTAACTGAAGTGAGTTTGTTTTGCCTGGTTAGTGGTTCTTTTGTTAAGGCAACTATTTCCTTAAGAAGTTTCATTTGGGAAAATATAAAGATATACACATGGAATACGCACTGAGCTTGGCTCTGAAAAATAACTAAAAGGTTCACTTGAGGAAGATAATATGGGAAAAAACAAGTCCTAGGGAAAAATCTATACGGTATGCCTTTTCTTGCCTTTAGCAAGGGAAGGCATACCGCATAGATTTTTCCCTAGGAAGGGAAAGAAGAGGCAATTTCTCTCCCCAACCAACAGAAAATCCTCATCATACTGCCTCCCCGCTCCCCCGCTAATCATTTAGCTTTTGAACACTTATTTTAAAGGACCTCATATAATTTAAAGTATTGGCTAGACATATGCGATCGCCAAATGTCTATATAAATCCTGCTCTGCTTTACAGAAGAAATTGACGTATTTGTAACAGCCACATTTACACAATACCACATTCCAATAGAGTAAGACGAGCTGGTTGGGCAGATGCTTACACACAAGATTAGAGGTACATTCACATGCTCTTCCTCCAATGTGATTAATGCCCCTCTGGAGTTTGCACAGGACAAACTTTGTGCAAAAGAATTGAGGGACACACATTTGACATCAGGACGCAAAGACCAAGTAATATCGGAGCCTTTCGACCTCTCCAAGACGCTCCATAAAGTGACTGCTTTGGAAAAGCAGGACTTCAACTGAACCTTTGAGTGAGAAATTGTGGAACTCACATACCTCAAAAGGTTTGAGGCAATCTCAGAAGGTTTCAGTACACACAATGGGGTTTTAACAACACATTTTAACAGATTACAAGCACCTTATCATTATAATTGATAAGGTGCTTGTAATATCTCTCATATGTAATCTGCATAACCAACTTATCTTCCTCTCCCTTCGCTCCCACCTCACCCCAGTTTAAATCCTACATCAGCCCATAAATCTAATGAAGTCAGCTGCAGCTCAAAAGTTTATGCCTTTCAATGAAATGTATTAGTTGGAAAATGTGCTACCAGACTCCTGATTTCATTCCAATTCCAAGGTTCTCTGCTGAACTTCTCCTTGCTCTATAATATTACATTTTGCAGAAGGCTGAATTCCAGCTGCTATATTGCTTTATTTTATAATGAATTTGCTATGGCAGATTGGTGGATTTCTTGAAGATGTGAATAGCATAAGAAGATGCAGGATAGAAGAGGAAATCATGAGAACTTTTGTCTATACCAAATCCCTCCAAAGTTCCTTGATCAATCAGTTTTACCAATTATCCTCTAGAAGATATATAAAAATCACCTAAAAGTAAAGTACAACCCACCAAAAAGTGACAATCAAAGAAACAAGTCTGAGATGAAGCCAAAAAGAAGCTTCAAAAGAGGGAGAAAGATAACATGATATTTAAAAAGTATATTTTTGTATGTTTTTGATTAACAGTAAGTGATCATTAGACTAGAATACTGACATTTATCTTTTACTGTTTCTTATCCTATTTGTTATATTATTAAGCAGTTTACTATGTCATCACTATAGATTTTTTAAACCGTAAAAACAAATATTCTACTAGAAATCTACATTAAATCATGAATGAATGTGGAACAGATTAGACCATAAAGGGAAAAACACCGGAGTGGACACCAGACTTGATTCAGAGTCATCCCACTCTAAGATTTTTTCGTTTTTTAAGGACAGAGCATATTAATTCTTTTACCACCAATGAACTATTTTAATTAAAGTTGTTTATTTATATTTCAGAGGCTTCATTGGCAGAGCATATTTGTAATCAGGAGAGAGAGAGAGAGAGCGCGAGCGAGCGAGCGAGCGAGTTTGTTGTAACTGTGATTATGGTGCGCCACCTAGAGGACATATTCCAGTGATGCAGAATGACAGCGAGATTAATGAGACCAAATCTGAAGCACGCAGCGTTTTTTTCCCCACTGCTTCTAGAATCCGTCGTTTTACAAAATAAGCAAGGATCACCGTATTACAAGGCAATGCAGGATGGTGCTTCTGAAATACTGGGAGAGTGGGAGGGATTAGCAAAGAACAAATTAACCGAAGGGGTGGCAAGGCTCTTACAACAAATTTGTTGGATGGTGATCAAAGGTACCATTCAAGACACATGTGCAAGCAGACTTCTTTATAAACAGGTTTGCTGGATCATAGTTTTATACACAAAATAGAGGAGCGTGTGAAATAAGTCACTGCCCTCCCCTCCCCTATAATGCAGAAAAGTCACATCAGGTGTGGAGAGAGAAAACCAAAGAGACAGTAATGTAGATTTCAGTAATATACTGAATCCAGACTCATCCAATGGGCAGTTACATCAGTGCTCTTTGATGG